TGGATTTAGGGTCAGATTTGTCTCCCATAGAGAGGGCTGGTGATTTTCAGGGAAGAATGGAGGTGAGGGGCAGTGATTATATAGCCGTGGCTATTGCAGAGGATTTAGAGATGGTGATGAGAACCAAGCTTTGATACCATGTTATTCTCTGAATTATGTTCCCTTATTGATATGAGGAGACCTCTATATATACAGAGGGTACAAGAGTGATTACAGGGATTTACATAGAGCTAAACTAGGAAACAACTAATCATTATCAATTTATAATAAATACAATACATTCATATATATATATATATATATATATATATATATATATATATATATATATATATATATACATAGATATATATATATATATATATATATATATTCCGCTAATAGTTTTATGGTTGATTGCGGGACATAGTGAAGGTATAACAGTCCAAGAGCGAGATTTTGATTAAGTTGCAAAAAGTGTTTATGAAAGAATGAAAGAGAAATGTTAATGTGTTGCCTACTCTCTCTCTCTCTCTCACTCTCTCTCTCTCTCTGTTGGACCAGCCCCTACAACCCCTGAACAAAACAAAAATACAAGGAAGTGTTCCTTGTTGTTGCTGCACACAAAAAAAGAAGAAGGAAAATAGGAGAACTTTTTGTTTATTCTGGACTTAACCACTCTATATTAATCAAAATTTTGTTGGCTATAAATAGCCTACAAAAAACAACCAACGGGAATAAACAACCTAAAGCCTAAAAAATATCCATTACTCCTAAATAAAAGCACCGTACAGTGACCAAGTATACATCACGTTTTCTCAATTTGCACTTGGTCAAACTCCATTATTCAAACAATCAAATAATACCCTTTGACCCATACCCATTACTTCAATAAACCCATCATCCATGTCAAGATTACCCACCACTCAACCCCTTAATCTTGACATCAATCTGATTCTTCAAAGCAGTGCTGGCTCATTATCATCTTCAGTCAAATGAACTTCTTCTTCTTGGAATTCCTTTTTAGGACACTCAACTGCATAATGTCCATATTCTTGACAATTATAGCATCTAATATATCGCTTATCTCGATATGTACATTGCTCCCTTTGATCTTCATAGCTTTTGAATTGGCCATCTCGACATCTACCATGACCTCTTCCTTGACCCCAACCTCTTCCTTGTCCAGATTGATCTTAACTAGAGTTACCACGCATGGTTCTCTCTTCCCATTCCTCTTTTGACAGTAAGAGTTTGTTTTGATTTTGATCATTTTCATCTTCATCAATAACCTTGATTCTCTCTTCATATGCTTTCAACCTTCCCACAGCTTCCTCAAGTGACATGTCCTCTATCTCTGAGTATTGCTCAACAGATGCAACAATCTGCAAAAATTTCTTAGGAACCGAATTTAGTAGTTTTCTTACCACTATCTCATCCTCCAAACTAGACCCAAGACTCTTTAATTTGGATGCAATCTCACTAAGTTTTCCCGAAAATTCATCAATCATGTCACCCTCTTTCATCTTCAACATCTCTAGCTCGGTTCTAAGTGTTTGAAGTCTCGACTTTTGAACTCTTTCGGCTTCCAAATACCGCACAAGAAGAGCTTCCCACATATCTTTTGCATCCTTATGCTTAGCCACTTTGGTGGTTGTTGAGGCCAACAAAATAAATATCCTAAATGTTACACACTAAAATAGTGTATAGTGGTAATGGGGTCGAATCCACAGTGATTGATTCAATTTGTTACTCAATGGAAAGCTCTTTGTAAAAATACTTGTTAAATAATAATAAAAATAAAAATGGGGGTTTTGGTCTTTTGAAATACTTGAAATAAACTAAAACTAAACTAAAGTTTAAATGGACAATTTAATAGAAACAAGGTTTTGATGTAAAATCAATAAGGGAGAGATGGTTGACTCAAGGTTTCCACACTTTGACTTTTGATGAACATATCATTAGAATCCAATGGTGCAATACTTGTTTTTAAATCCTTAATTTGGCTATAGTAATCCAAGAAGCTTGTAATTACCTATACTTTTATTAATTGTTAAAATTGTTAGAGAAGCTCATAACAATTTCCTTAGTCAAAGTCACAATTTTCATTAAGCATGTAATTAGTGAAAGTCAACTAGCATTAAGAACCAAAAAATCACCAAATCAAAGGGGAGTCAAATGATTCCACTACCATGTTGGAGAAAATGTTTTTATGATTGTGTGAAGTAAAACTAACATAAAAATCACTCGTTGCTTGCTAATTTGAGGATCCTTTACTTAATCAAGAAATTAGTTAACTAATCCCCACAAACACATTTAAACTCCTGAATAAAACATATAAGTGGTGATAAGATGTTAAAATACAAAACATTCTCATAAGGATTCAAACATAAGTTCATGAAATCTTCAACATTCAACACAAAGTCAAAGGATTCAACCAAAGTCAGCAAAGTTTTGTTTAGCCAAGCATGGCTAAACTCAAAGAAAGAAAGTTAGAGAAGATTGTACCAAACATTTAACAAGAATCAAGAGGTGAAAATATGATGTTCTTGATGTGTTCTTGGCCTTCAAAAGTCTCCAAAACTACAAAGAGAATGCTCAAAAATCGGATGTGTAGGATTCTCCCAAAAGATGCACACCAACCTTCCCCATATAGCCTTCTAACTGAAATTCTGAAACTACCCCTGCTGAGTCGTGCGCGGCCGCGCAGCCTTGCATGGGTGGGTTGTGCGGGTGGTATCAGATTGTGGGTTCTTTGAGTATTGGGCGTCCACAGCTGAGTCCACTTGCCCGGTTTGAGTGCAAACAGTTTCTAGCCCATTTTTCAATAACTTCACTTCATTTTAAGCCTAATTTGGTTTCTCCGAGTGATCCATAGCTTTCGTAATTGACCGATCATCAACCTCCATATGCTCGAATATTCTCCTGCATCTTGCAATTTTAAAATTTATTTCTTCCAAGCCTTTAATTGATAAGCAAGCTCACTCCATGCATCATCTCCATTAGCTATCAAGCCCAAAATTCTTGTTATCTTCCAAGTCTAATCTCTTCCTAAAGATCCTGCTCCGCTAGTCTCCTTAAAATCTGCAATTAAGCTCACGAAACTAGAAAGTACCCGAAAATGGCCATAGAATAATAAAATAGAAAATATGCATGGGAATTATCTGAACAAAATAAACTAATATAAAATAATATAAACTATAAAAAGAAGTAAATAAAATAAACCATCAAATTACCCCAAGTGTCAACCTTACCTGTCCTTAAGTAAGACAAGACTAAATTGAACTCGGGATGAACTATCCTAAGGAAAATAAAAAGAATGGACAGGACCATAGAACCTGATCATTGTTACTCAACATGGTCAGAATTGATCTTGTTATTATCTCATGACTTTTCATCCGATGACAATGGAACCATAAACCACAACTAGAATAACTCCTCTCGGTGGGTAAGGAAGGGTAGCCAATCATAGCCCCCAATGGAACATGCATACAATGAAGAACATTTGTTGTAGGGAGAAAGCAATTGGATGAGCTCGTGTGGAGCTCTTCTTTGAGTGTACACTCTTATCACATAAGTTGTGTGATCTCACGTCTGCCGGCTACTCTCATATGTGAATTGGGCTTCATCGCTCAGGCACTGTTGCAGGAATCAGTTCACTTAGTGTTGGCCCAAACCTCTCGTAGTATCTGACTCGACAGTCTCCCTAACATCAGCAATTTGAGAAAAACAACTCGATCTAAATACAATAAAACATACCTAAATAGATGAATAGCAAACGCCGGGTGACCACAATGTAGGAAAATTTGTTCAATAATTGAACCAGTCACCCATCTAAGATAATCGCCGCTTGGAATTTACTTGAATTTTTTTTTTTTGTGTTACTTGAAAGTAAAGTACTAACATATTGAATTTTTGTTTTTTTTTAACCAATAAAACTTTTTGACTCAAAATTTGGTTCCCAAAAGTATGTACGTGGAACCGAAAGGGTAATAATAATAAGTTGGATGGTCTAAGTGTGAGAATGACCATGGTATGGAGCATAAAGATGTAAGATCCTTTTCAAACTTGTGATTTTTCCAATTATAACAAAAATGTCCAAATGTGGACTAAAAGACTCTTTAAAATCCTAAAAAGTTGCAAAAAGGTATGGTGATGTAAAGAGACCGGATATAGGTTCTACTCGGCGACAAGCACCAGTGCATCATCCTAACGTTTCAAACATGATCAAGTGTGATCCTCTCGACGGTATGGACCGCAAGGCTAAAAACATCCATTGCTATAGTATATCCTATGTTTGTTAGTATTTCATGCATAATTCTTCATGAAAAATACATGTTCATAATCACTTACCCCTTTAAGCACTAGCAGTTGATCCCAAGTATGAAGTCCCAACTGCAGCGTAATGGTCCTGGTTCGATGTGTGAGAAAATAATAAGATCCTGGACCAATAATGATACAATAATTGTGAACATGTTCCATGGCATCCAAGGAGGTGAGAATAAACAGACAACAAAAATGCATGAATGTTAGTGCCCTAAGCTAAATGTTATGCAAAATAAAAAGTGGAAAAGAAGAAAATAAAATCTTTTTGGAATTTTATAAAATAAAATAGAAAATGAATGCAAATTAGCTTAAAACTAAAATGTTATGCAACTTAACTAAAAAAATGCATGAAACAGTAAAAAGAAAGGAAATACCCCACCCCAAGCTTAAGAACAAGCATTGTCCTCAATGCTTAAGGTAAGGGCAGAAATGACCTAAATTGGAGGATCGGGCGGCGGAAAGTGCCCGTTGCGGTAGTGGTAGTCCCACATATTCTTGACCTGTCGGGAAGTGGATGGGAGGGACTGCTCCACCCAATCAACACGGGCCGCCACATCCTGGATGGCTCGCGTGTTCTCCTACGTCTAAGTGTCGATGTGCTGAACCGTGGAGAACATCATAACGAATTGGTCGGAGAATGTGGCGGGGAAATATGGTGGGATCTTGTGTCCCCCCTGTTGCTGCTAGTACTGATGCTACTCAAATTGTTGTGGAGGAGCTTGAAAGCGGTCGTGCTGATACATCAACTGCTGCATAGGAGGCTGGTCGAAATGGTATTCTGCCTCGGGAAGCTCTTCTTCATCTTCTTCGTTCTCAGAGTCGAGTAGCGCACCTATTGGAGTCAATTGATCCGGTGGAACCCAAGTGTCGGGGTCATCGTATGCGAATGAATCACTAACCCAACTGGGGAGGATATAAACCGGATGCTTGTCACCGTTAAGCCAACTGTATGAGTCATTGCCCCGAATCTCTAACATCTCCGCTCGCTCAAGAGTGAAACAATCCAGTAGGAAGTTGGGCTGGTAGTGATCAACGGGTAAGTAATCAAGGGCAGGAAAATCCACGCCGACGGCTCGGCCTATGATGGTAATAATCCCCCCCGATATGAATCTCTCCTGTGGTATGCTGACGGACGGCCTCACATTTATCAAGGAAGAATGTGGATAAATCAAGGGATCCGCGATGTCTCATGCAGTATAGGAAGAAAATTTCACATCAATTTATTTGAACGGGCTCGAACCGACCAAAAATGCTGGTGGTGAGAATGTGGTGTGCAATGCGCCAACAAGGATTGACTATCTGCTTGGCCCTCTGGCGGCTCGGATTAAACATGTCGAGACCGGTAATTTGTGACCAAAACTCAACTTTGGGGCAACGTAATGTAACGCCTGTAGATCCGGGCTAGTCACTTTAGAGACAATAAGCGTCAAAAATGACTTTTTGATAGCAGAGATGAGCCGAGTACCTTACGCTTCTGCAGTTGGCTCGATCATGTATGCTATGACTTGCACTCGCCCTGATGTAGCCTTTGCTTTGAGCATAGTTAGTAGATATCAAGGGAACCTTGGTAGAGCTCATTGGATTGCAGTCAAGAATATCCTTAAGTACCTTCGGAGGACCAAGGAATGGTTTTTAGTCCTCGCAGGGAGTGACGACTTAAATGTGCAAGGGTATAGTGACGCTAGCTTCCAGACCGACAGGGACAACTACCATTTGCAGTCAGGCTGGGTCTTTACCCTAAATGGAGGAGCAGTGACTTGGAAAAGTTCCAAACAAAAAACCATAGCTGATTCAACATGCGAATAAGAGTACATTGCAGCAAGCGAAGCGTCAAAGGAGGCGATATGGTTGAAGAACTTCATTGGTGACCTTGGAGTTGTGCCTGCCATAAAGGAGCCTATGGAAATTTTCTGTGATAATGAAGGGGCGGTTGCCTTGACCAAGGAATCGAGGGATCATGGTAGATCTGTTCATATTGACAGAAAGTATCATTTTATTAGACATCGAGTAGAAGAAGGACACCTCGTAGTAATGAGGATATCATCAGAAGATAACCCAGCAAATCCGCTTACGAAGGGACTGACTAGGGTTAAGCACTTGCAGCACGCTAGGAGCATTGGGCTAAAGGATGATATTAGTTTGGATTAGATAGTTTAGAAACATGTAATAGATAAATGTAATTGACATTTGATGATTAAATAAAGGAGTATTATTTAAGGGTTTTGTCTTATGTTAATTGTTTAACTGTTGTTTCACTTTGCATGTTTTGACTTCCAGAATAATTGAGTTTATTAAGAATAATCGAATTATTCAAACAGTCCACAATCGTTCATATGTTGGAAGTAGGTATGAATGAAGATTGTCATGAATTGGTGTGTAGATTGTCTAAATAGTATTAGACATAGCAAAGGTTTGATACAACGTTCATGAGTGCTTATGAACAAGTTTTGAGCATTGGAATAAACCCATGCTTGCTGGAATCACTTTATGGAATGTATCGCAAGTGATCGCAAGATGATAATATCATATGGTCTTAAAACCAAGATATAAGGTTTATTGTTTACTAATTGGTTGTGCATTAATAATGCGAAACCACATAAGTAAATTGATGTTATAAAACGCATTGTTGTGTATGATTGATTAGTAAATAATAAATGCATATAAGTCGAAGTTTATCTGTTACTTCTATCGTAAGAGGGTAAAAGCGATATCACGGCCGCTCAATGATTTGATTTGACTTATGTGTCGGGCCCGGTCAGGACTGAATTGATGTGTTCAATTAAGTTCTATATCAAATAAATCTGAGATCGAGAAACTAATTGTTAGACAATAAGTATGACAATGCTTCATGAGATTGTCTACACGGTATCAAAACAGAGGACTGTATGATCCCTTATCTAAAGGACAGGTTACTGATGAGATCAGAGTTCGACAACGTCTTTGAGAGCTACGATTGCTAATCGATTTTTACGTTGCATTTGTGGTTACTAGACTTACCCAAGTAGGAGACTGTTGGATTAGTGTCTAAGCCCGTAACCATATTTGGTAAGTACTTGACTCGGTTGTGCATGGTCCTTTTGGGTTGCCTTCACCAAAGCAACTTGACTGGAGAAATAAATAGAGAGAGAGAGAGGTTATTATGATTTATTAATATATTATAAGAATAATATATTAAAGGAGAAATCATATTTGTTTAATTAATATTGCTCAATAATTAATTAGGAATTAATTTTGTGATCAAGTGTAATTAATTAAACTAGAGGGACTGAATTGTAATTATGTGATAGTTGCAAAATAGGGCAATGGTTAGCCTAGTTGTAGGATGGACGAATTCAAGGGATAAGATATCCTTGAAATCGTCCAAAGGTCCAAGGGGATAAGGGTTATGAAGGCTTATCTTTTGATTGCTTGGTGGGTAAGTAACTAGATAAGGATAATGACTGAAACCCTTATATTTACCCTATATAAAGACCCTAAGGCCTTAAGAATTTGTCCACTTGCTTCTAAGAGATCCCAAGGCCAATTTCTACCTCTCCCCTTCTCTCTCTATAGCCTCTCCAATTGCTTGTGGTGTTTGTGAGCCATTAGAGGTACTACACTTGTGGTACTTGCTTTCAAGACTTAGGGTTTGAAGATTTAAGTTGTTACTGCAATATAACAACAAGAGGTATGTGATCTCACCTTCTATGTGAATTTCGAAAATAGTAGGCCACATTAGGGTTTTATTCATGTGTTCATAATGTTGTGTAACTAATAGTGAAAACATAGATCCAAATCTAGGGTTGCATGCACACATAGGATTGTATGTATAAGACCCATCAAGATACTATAACCTTGTCCGAAAATTTGGAGATGTAGTCATCTACTAGAGTATAGATGGCGACCACGAACTATTATAGACAACCCCATGGAAACACTAGCATGCTCATAACATGTAGGTGATGAACTACGAGTTCAATAAATGTTGTAACTACGTGTTCATGCGATGATACCCTAACCCTTGTTCGGAACGTATTGAGGGAGTAATCCCTGAATCAATATTATCTATGCGATGTAGGCGATGATCCTTAGGGAGAGTCCTTATGAACAAACGTATAAGAAAATGTGATGTAAGGAGATGAGAGGTAAATATGATGTAGGAGAGGACCCTTAGGATAAATCCTTAGGGAACGTACTTAGGAATAAAGAAAATAATGGGGATGGGTACTTGGGTTAATTGTTTGATGATTAAACATAATAATTAAATTATTGTGGGTTGAAAACCCTATGTACTCACCAGTTTTCCCAACCTGACCCACTCATTTTACTTTTATCACAGGTGATGATGTGAAGTTACATTACACTGAGAGATTTAGGAGATATAGATCACTAGTGTAAATGAATGTAAGTTCTGTTTATGCTTATGTTTCTGTATTGACGATGACATCCCAAATGTTTTAAAAGGAATAAAATTACATTTCTTTGGAAATGCTTTGATAATGAAATTATCATGTTTTTCTGGGAACAAATTCTGCAATGTTTTTCTTGAAAGAGATACTCTGATTTTTATAAAGCATAAACAAAATCAGTCTTTTCTGGCCGTGAAAATGGGGATGTCACAGTTGGTATCAGAGCATTAGTTTAAGCGAACTACAAATTTGTAGTATTTCTAGGCTTAAACTTAGAATGCTAAGCGGTGACTGTGAGATGTGAGCACTAGCTTACTTTAGGAATTGTGCCTAAAAATGCTTTTATGTGCTAAATGCTTTGTGCTTGATATGCTGTTATTTGTTCGGATCTATGGTCTATTGTCGACCGGATCTAGAAACTTTATGTGTTCAAGTTTCTAAACATGTAATTATGGTATTAGAACTGGCATATAACTTTTCGGAGAGATAATGGGATTATACGTCAATCATAGATTAAATCTTTCTTATCTTAATTCAAGTCATTACACACCGACCGTCTGACTGGTATATAGATCGAAATGTCAAGAACCCGAAGTGGAGTCAGGAACGCGAATGGAAATAGGAATCAACAACCCTCAGTGATTGAACAAATACCTGTTGTAGTAACCGCACCTGAGCCAATCACCATGGTCGGGGTACAAGCTATGATCTAAGTGATGTTGGATCGTCAAATGGAGGAAGCAAGTTGTTTCTTCAATAAAATCGAGAGGAACTTACAATGCCTATTGAACAGCCGGAGTTGAATGATGGGCAGTCAGAAGGAGGGAACTACAGTGGGACGGTTGGTCAAGACAACCCATTGATAGTTAGACGAAACAATCAGGATGGAGGAAATGACAAACGTGGATGTAAGTACAAGGAGGTCATGGCATCCAAACCCTCGAGTCTTTCTCGAAGCCCATCACCACTGGAAGTTATAGACTGGATCTCCGAGATGGAGACAATGTTTGAGAGTTGCGAGTGTAGCAACAAACAAAAGACCGCCCTTTCAGTCCCTCTGTTAAAGTCTGGGGTACTGAGCTGGTGGAAGCTACTAGCTAACACGATGCCCAATGGAGAAGCAAGCATGATTTCTTGGGAAGATTTCCTAGTGCAATTAAAGATGCAGTACTGCTCTAAGTAGGATCTTCTGGATATCAACAATGAATTCCAGAATCTGAAGAAGGGGAAGATGAGTGTCACCGAGTATGCTGCAAGTTTTACGGAGAAGATGAAGCTCATTCCTTATCTAGTTCCAATTGAGCTCTCCATGGTCAAAAAGTTTGCCCACGGATTACCAGCGGACTTTGGTCCAATGGTCAAGCAAGCAACCACTCTGAAAACCGCCATTTGGACTGCTAAGAATGTGGAGACCCAGATAAGAGAAAAGGGTCTGGAGAGAGCTGAAGTTGACATGAAAAGGAAGCATGAAGGATCTTTAAGGTCCAACAAGGAGAGAAAATTCCTGAAGTCTGGAGGAGGAGGAGGTGAAGCAAGATGGTGTGAGAAGTGTAAAAAGAATCACTTCGGAAGATGCGATGGAGAAGTGACGTGCTATAAGTGTAGTAAGACTGGTGACTATTCCAGAGATTGTACATTCGACAACAAGAAGTGCTACGAATGTGGAAATGATAGGCATATTTCGAAGAACTGTCCAAAGAAGAATGAAGTTGCAAGGAAAAATATGCCGCTAAATCCAAAAGCAAGAGCATTCCAAATGATCCTTGATGAAGTAGATGGCAAGGAAAGGAATCATGAGTGAGGATGGGTATCCAAGGATCAAGTTATGAAGAAGCCAAGCGGATAGTATCAGGAGGTGTATCCTACTAGAGGCATAGTATAGGTTGAACTTGAACACCTATGTAATCATTTCAAGGAATAATATAAAACTTTCATTTTGTTGTC